TTCTTAATGGAATCCAGACTTCCTAGAGCTATTGAGGCTGGATGAGCCCCTGAAACTATTGCCTTGGGATAATCTTTAAACCTTAAACTAAGACTATCCCTTGAAGTCTCCTTTGAACCAAAAAAATTTGTTGTTGTTAAGTGCTATACAGTCGGTTCTAACTCATAGCAACCCTATGTACAGCAGAATGAAACACTGTCCGATCCTGCACCATTCTTACAATCATTGCCATGTTTGAGTCCATTGTTGCAGCCAGTGTGTTAATCAGTCTCATCCAGGGTCTTCCTTTTTTTCACTGACCCTCTGTTTTACCAAGCATGATGTCCTTCAGGGACTGGTCTCTCCTGATAACATGTCCAAAATACATGAGATGAACAAGTCTCACCATCCTTGCTTCCAAGGAGCACTTTGGCAGTATTTCTTCCAAGACAGACTTGTTCTTTATTCTGGCAGTCCATGGTGTATTCAGTATTCTTCACCAATACCATAATTCAAATGCATCAATTCTTTGATCTTCTTATTCGTTTTCCAACTTTCCCATGCGTATGAGGCGATTGAAAATATCATGGCTTAGATCAGGCACACCTTAGTCAGCAAAGTGACATCTTTGCTTTTCAACACTTTAAAGAAGTCTTTTGCAGCAAATTGGCCCAATGCAACGTGTTGTTTGAATTCTCGACTGCTGCTTTCATGGGCATTGATTGTGGATCCAAGTAAAATGAAATCCTTGACAATGTCAGTATTTTCTCCATTTATCATGATACTGCTTATTGGTCTAATTGTGAGGATTTTTGTTTTCTTTATGTTGAGGTGTAATCCATATTGCAGTCTGTAGCCTTTGATCTTCATCAGTAAGTGCTTCAAGTCCTCTTTGCTTTCAGCAAGCAAGGTTATGTCATCTGCATATCGCAAGTTGTTAATGAGTCTCCAATCTTGATGCCGTGTTCTTCTTCATATATAATCTTCTCAGATTATTTGCTCAGCATGCAGATTTATGAGTATGGTGAAAGGATACAACCCTGACACACACCTTTCCTAATTTTAAACCACACAGTATCCACTTGTTCTGTTCAGATGACTGCCTCTTGGTCTAAGTACAGATTCCTCATGAGCACGATTAAGTGTTCTGGAATTCCCATTCTTCACAGTGCTATCCATATTTTTTATGATCCACACAGTTGAATGCCTTTGCGTAGTCAATAAAACACATGTAAACATCTTTCTGGTATTCTCTGTTTTCAGCTAAGATCCATCTAACATCAGCAGTGATATCCTTCGTTACACGTCCTCTTGTGAACCCAGCTTGAATTTCTCTCAGTTCTCTGTTGATGTACTGCTGCAATCATTTTTTAATTATCTTCTGCAGAATTTTACTTGTATGTGATATTAATGATATTGTTTGATAATTTCTGCATTCTTTTGGTTCACCTTTCTTTGGAATGGGCACAAATATGGATCTCTTCTAGTCAGTTGGCCAGGTAGCTGTCTTCCAAATTTCTTGGCATAGACGAGTGAGCACCTCCAGCGCTGCATCCGTTTGTTGAAACATCTCAATTGGTATTCCATCAATTCCTGGAGCGTGGTTTTTTGCCAGTGCCTTCAGTGCAGCTTGGACTTGTTCCTGCAATACCATGGGTTCTTGATCATATGCTATTTCCTGAAATGGTTGAATATCAACCAGTTCTTTTTGGTACAGTGACTCTGTGTGTTCCTTCCATCTTCTTTTGATGCTTCCTGCGTTGTTCAGTATTTTCCCTCTAGAATCCTTCAAAATTGCAACTCAAGGCTTGAATTTTTTCTTTAGTTCTTTCAGCTTGAGAAATGTCGAGCATGTTCTTCCCTTTTGGTTTTCTAACTCTGGGTTTTTGCACATGTCATTATAATACTTTACTTTCCCTTCTTGAGCCGCCCTTTGAAATCTTCTGTTTTTAGCTCTTTTACTTCATCAATTCTTCCTTTCACTTAGCTGCTCTAAGTTCAAGAGCAGGTTTCAGAGTCTTTTCTGACACCATTTTGGTCTTTTCTTTCTTTCCTATCTTTCTAATGACCTTTTGCTTTTTTCATGTATGATGTCCTTGATGTTATCCCACAACTTGTCTGGTGTTCAGTCATTAGTGTTCAGTGAGTCAAAGCTATTCTTGAGATGGTCTCTAAATTCAGGTGGGATGTACTCAGGGTCATACTTTTGCTCTCGTGGACTTGTTTTTATTTTCTTCAGCTTCAGCTTAAACTTATATATGATCAGTTAATGGTCTGTTTGTGGTCGGCCCCTGACCTTGCTCTGGCTGATGATATTCAGCTTCGCCTCTTTCCACAGATGTTGTCGATTTGAATTCTGTGTTTTCCATCAGATGAGGTCCACGTGTTTAGTTGCCGTTTATGTTGGTGAAAAAAGGTATTTGCAATGAAGAAGTTGTTGGTCTTGCAAAATTCTACCACACGATCTCCAGTGTTGTTTCTATCACCAAGGCCATATTTTCCAATTACTAACCCTTCTTTGTTTCCAGCTTTCTCATTCCAATCAGCAGTAATTATCAATGCATGCTGATTGTATTTTTGATCAATTTCAGACTGCAGAAGTTGGTAAAAATCTTCTATTTCCTCTTCTTTGGCATTAGTGGTTGCATAAATTTGAATAACAGTTGTGTTAATTGGTCTTCTTTATAGGCATATGGATATTCTATCACTGACAGCGTTGTACTTCAGGATAGATCTTGAAATGCTCTTTTTGACAGTGAATGTGATGCCATTCCTCTCTAATTTGTCATTCCTGGCGGAGTAGACCATTTGATTGTCTGATTCAAAATGGCCAATACCAGTCCATTTCAGCTCACTGACACCTAGAATATAGATCTTTATGCGTTCCATTTTGCTTTTGATGACTTCCAATTTTCCCAGATAGATAGTTGTACATTCCATGTTCCAGTTATTAATGGATGTTTGCAATTGTTTCTTCTCATTTTGAGTTGTGTCACATCAGCAAATGAAAGTCCTTTCAGCTTTACTCTATCCATGTTATTAAGTTTGACTTTACTTTGAGGAAGCTGCTCTTTCCCAGTCATATTTTTTGTGCCTTCCAACCTGAAGGGTTCATCTTCTGGCACTATATCAGTGTTCTGCTGCTGTTCACAGGGTTTTCACTGGCCAATTTTTTCTTCCTAGTCTGTCTTAGTCTGGAAGCTCCACTGAAACCTGTCTACCATGGATGACCCTGCTGGTATTTGAAATACCAGTGGCATAGCTTCCAGTATCACAGCAACATGCAAGCCACCACAGTATGACAAACTGGCAGACGCGTGGTGGAACCAAACAATAGCTTATTTTAATTAGTAAAGTATGTCTGTCTTGAGCTTTGTACTTTGTTAAAGAATTAGGTATGTGAGACCAAATTGAAAATGACAACTCGAAACGTTGAATGAGATGTTTAGGGGATAGTGAGTGTAAGATAATAGTGGTGGAATAATTTGGAAAAGTATAGCAAGAATGATAGCAGAACTTGAAGAATGTAACCAATGTCACTCCATTGTATGTATAGAGATTGTTGAAATGGTATGTCTTTGGCTGCATACTTTCACCAAAATAAAAAAAAAAAAAATACAGAAAAAAAGCCCTCACCAAATTTTCATATGGATTGTTGCTTTTTTATTTGGCTCTCAAACAATTCTCAGTGAGTATACCTCTTTGTATTTTATGTTTTATCCAGTGTAAACCAGTAACATCAAGGGAAATAATGTGGGAGTAAATGGGAAAGAATTAGAGTGTTTCTAGGTACTCATTTTAAGACTTTTTCTCCTCTTTGGCTATTTAAAAACAATTGAGATTTAAGGCTCAAAAGTAGAAAAATAGCAACCGTATGCTCAGATTTTTGATGCTGCTTCTTCAGCTTTTCTGTTTAGTCTTTTATATTGTTGTTGTGTTCCTTTGAGTTGACTCTGACTTATAGTGATCCTATATGACAGAATAGAACCGCCCCCATTGGGTTTCCTAGGCTGCAATCTTTATGGGAGCAGATCACCAGGTTTTTTTCTCCCAGGGAGCTGCTGGTGGGTTCGAACTCTAGACCTTTCAGTTAGCAGCTGAATGTTTAACCACTGCATCACCAAGGCACCTTAGTCTTTCATAATAGACTGTTTAATTAGTGGTCACATTCAATCTTGTATTCTGAAACTATTTTATGCCTTTTTTACCCTTTTATATAAACAACTCTCTGCCTAAAGGTATGCCTTCTTTTCTGTAGCTATGGAATTATCAAGTGGCTTTAAAATTATATCTTTGCCTATAAGTCCTCTTTTGGGGGATAAATTAATTTTGTTTTAAAAAGGAATTCTAAGCCTAATGACAGGGAAGTGAAAAATGAAACCTGTAACCAAGCCTGAGAAAGCATGTGCATTTATTTTCGGTAAATTTGAGGAAAGAATCCATAGCTGCTTAATGGCTGTGATAACCCTTGCTTGGCTAATGTGCATGTCAATTTTAGAATTTATCCTAAAAATGACAATTTGCCTGTCAACTACACAGTTAAGTGGTATAATGGCAGCTGAGCAGTGAAATGGAGGGAGATGGAGGTGGATGGAGTTGAACACTTTCAAGCACTAATTAACTCATATATAGAATCTTTTTGTTTGAAATAGTGAAAACATTAGCCCCAAATATGTAGGTGAATACATTTTGTTTGTTTTTGGTTGATCAAAGATACAGTCGTTTAATGTCTGTATGTGAGCTATTGCACAATGATGTAAGAAGGGAAAGTGATGATGGAATTTAGAGGACTTTCAGGTTTAGAGCTAATTAATCTGTTATCTGGTAGAGCCCTGATGCAATGGTTGATTTAGTAGATAGACTTGAAAGCTTTTACTTTTTACTTGTTATTAGCAGTTAGGTTATCTGCTAGTCTGTTGGCAGTTCAACACCAATGTGTTTCCTTTAAACTCCATGAATCTCAGCATATGCTCTTTTATGTATGCTAAATAATTTAAATACATTTCTTACTCTTTCCACAGCATGTAGAGTCCACGAAGCACAGAACCATAACAGAGCTTCCTACTCACACCACCAGGAGGATCTCTTTGAAAGATTCATCACAGGACTACCAGAGAGAATAATTTGTCTGAAGCATCATGTATTGAAACAACAGAAGGCACCTTTGCATTAGTTAGAAACAGAGTTACAATGTTTTCAATTCTTTGAGCTCCAGGAAGCCAGGGGAGAGAGTGGAAAATTTGAAAATGCGGCCATGGACTGGTTCCTGGCGTTGGATTATGCTCATTCTCTTTGCCTGGGGGACCTTGCTATTTTATATAGGTGGTCACTTGGTACAAGATAATGACCACCCTGATCACTCTAGCCGAGAACTATCCAAGATTCTGGCAAAGCTTGAACGCTTAAAACAGCAGAATGAAGACTTGAGACGAATGGCTGAATCTCTTCGGTAGGTTATGAAAAACTGGACAAGTGATGAAATATTGTACTTAGTTTTTAGGTGCAGCGCTTATGTACCTATTGAAAAATAATAATCTTTTAAATTGCTAGAGTGTTGCAGTGATTTAATTATCTTAGTAGGTTACTTTTATATCAGTGAGCTGTCTCTATATTTAACATACAGAATTTTTCCATAGTGGTAAATCTTATTTGCTATATGAGTTTTAGTATAGAAAACTGCCATTTAATTAATGTACTTATATTTCATTTACAGGTATCTTCAGCATTTTGACAATTTTGATATATTACATCCAGATGTTTTATCATTTAAATTAGTATACTTATTAAAATGAAGAAACAAATAATCATCCTTAAATAAAACTGGATCTGAGATCTGGAGAGTTATTATCATTGCTGCTTCTAGGTGTGTAAGAAAAATGTGACATGTATCTGTTAGAAGCTATCAGTTGTGGAAAACCAAAAGTCTTGTTTTCAGGGAGCAAATGAACAGTATTGCACAGTTGACATCTGTTTTTTTCCCCCAAAGCTGTTGAATTTCAGAGTTATCTAGTTTACTAAGCCAAACTGAAGCTGCGCAAGTACATTTAGCTTTTATAGATGCTTTCATGAAAAGTTGAATGTATGTCAAAGGTTAATTCTTTTGTTGCTTATTAAACTGTATATTATACATACAACTTTGCATTTTCTGCTAGGGCTCAGACTATATACCCTGTTCATCTTTGCATTTTCATCTAGTATCTAGTATGGCACCTAGCGTATAGTAGTGGAACCTGTTGCCGTTGAGTTGATTCTGACTCATAGTGACCGTATAGGACAGAGTGGAACTGCCCCATAGGGTTTCCTAGGTTGTGAATCTTTATGGAAGCAAACTGTGACATCTTTCTCCCATGGAGCAGCTGGTGGGTTCGAACCGCTGACCTTTCAGTTAGCAGCTGAGTGCTTAACCACTGCGCCATCAGGGCTTCTTCATATAGTAGTAGTCAGAAAATACATTTTTGAATGAGTGAGATGAATGAATTAGTTGCCCACTGTTTAAAAAAAATCTCTTTTTTAAAACGAATAATCTCATTGTAAAGCAAATAGTTATCTTCTAATTCCTCTACTTTATATATGAAGGGGATCATGTATTTAGTGCTTGCTGTCTCTCAAGGTAGCGGTTGAGGCTAAGATGAAAATTTGAGAGTCATTATTCTGGAGAGGGTAGTTGACCCTATGGGAGGTAGTGTAGAGAAGAAGAGCTGAAAGTTGATTTCTTGAGAAGCAAATAAGTTCAGGAGTGGAAAGTGGAAACATCCAGTTGTGCAGAGAAAGCCTTCATAGTAGGCAAGGAGAGAGCTCTTGTGGAAGCTGAGGAACATTTTGTGAATGAAGATAACTGGCAGTGTCACATACCCTTGAGGCTTTAGAGAGGATGCCCATGTTCCTCCCATGGTTCCCAGCTCCCCACCCCACTCACTGCCCTTCACTGTTTCTTTAAAACTTAGCTCTTTTCCTTTATCTAGTTCCATAACTTTTTTCTTCACCATAATGTTAATTTTGGTTTTTTTTATGTCCTATGGAAGATAATTCTAGTTGTTAAAGAGTTTTACAAAAATGAATGAAACATCATCCTTGTTTTTAAGTAGTAATAGTACCATTCAGCAAGGTACTCAGTGGTCAGGTCAGGAAAGTGTGACAGATAACTCCCTGAATTTACATTATCATTTTATTTCCTGCTGGGGGAAATCAGGGAGGATCATAGAGGAGGTGATCTTTCAATAGAGTCTTGTTCAGTCATTCTTTATGGAAACCAAAAATTTATAATTTAAGGGTTAGTAATAGTAACTATTGGGAGCAGTGGTGGTTTAGTGGTAGAATTCTCGTTATCCATGCAGGAGACCCAGGTAAGATTCCCAGCCAATGCACCTCATGCACAGCCACCACTCACCTGTCAGTGGAGGCTTGTGTGTTGCTATGATGCTGAACAGGTTTCAGTGGAGCTTCCAGACTAAGACAGACTAAGATGAAAGGCCTGGCGATCCACTTCTGAAAAATCAGCCAGTGAAAACCCCCCTAGATCACAACAGTCCCATCCACAACCAATCATGGGGCTGGTGCAGGACCAGGCAGCATTTTATTCTCTTGTGCATGAGGTTACCATAAGTCAGGGGCTGACTCAATGGCAGCTAACAACAACAATAGCCATCATGTATTGAGAGTTTATAATATGCCAGGTATTGTGCCAGTGACTTTGCATGCATTATCTCATTGAGTTCCACAACATACTTAGGAGATGCTGGTACTACTTTGATAACCATTTTACAGATGAGGAATCTGAAGAGGTATTAAATAATTTAATTTACTCAGAGTCACACTTTTCACTACTTTGAATCCTGGATATATGACTCCAAACCATGAAGTCTGATGAACTGTATTGCCTCACTGAGTAGAAACCAGAGAGGAGTCAATGACCCAAAAACCTGAACTAAAAGTCTCATGTAGGAAATCACTGAGAGTTAACTGCTACGCAAGTTGATTTTTGAAGTATGCTTTGATTATAGTAAAATCTTGTTCTATATCATAGGAATTTTGCTCCTTGAAGATGACTTTGCCTCTTAACAATTTGGGTTCATAAATTATTGCTCAATTTTCTCCTAGTTCCAGCTACAATACTGATACTTCAGCTTGCTTACTTTTGACTGCCAAGTATCTTATTTTTGTTGCATGAAGGAAAGCTTGCCTTTAATATGGGTTTTCCTTCTGCAGAATAATTTTTGGGTCTCTTAAGTCACTTTCTTTATATTATTACATGTTGAAATTAAATTCTTAACTACTACATTCAAAGGTAGAGACTACTTCTAACACCTGAGGCATTTAAGATATTTTGCTGTAATACGTAAACGTAATCTTAAAAACACAGACTAAGCAAATGAGCCCATTTTTATATATAGGTATATAATTTCAGGAACATAAGTTATTTTCTCTAATTAGGGAAGAATGTCTCCTTATGCCGTTTCATGGACTTTACTGGTGGGGCCATTTGTATCTCATTCAAACGGATTTCATTTAGAGCCCCTGGCATGAAAGGAAGAATAGTGGAGGTGCTATTAACATTGGTGTTTTTTCTTTTATAATATATATGTACGTAATTTACTATGTCCTTATAAGAAAATGTATTCATAAGCCAGACTATTAAAAGGTTAATTCATATGTTTGTAGAACTAGGTCAGGTTGATAATCAGTCTGTGCTCAGAACATTACTTTGAGATAAGTCATATGGATTGGAGTTGGAAAGCAACCTAGAAGCCTGAAACTAGTTTTTTTTTTTAGATTTAGGACCATAATTTAAAAGCAATTAGCTAAACTCCCAGCAAAATTTTGCCAGTTTTGCTGATCGTGTTTCAAATTTAGGAAAATAGTTTAAAATTCATTTCTTAAGGTCCCTGGGTGGTGCAAACCGTTTGTGCTCAGTGGGTAACCAGAAAGTTGGTTGTTCGAACCTACCCAGTGTTACCATGCAAGGAACAGGCCTGACAGTCCACTTCTGTAAAGATGATAGCCAAGAAAACCATATGGAGCAGTGCTGCTCTGTAACCCATGGGGTCTTTTAAGTCACAAATCAACAACAGAAACAAAATCAACAATAAAAACCATTTCTCTAAGGGATGCAAGTGTCTGAGAACAGTGTATGGGAGGTTGCTGTGTGTATGTATGTGTGTGTGTAAATCTGACTTACTGATGAATAATTTCCATACAGTGTAATTCATCCCTTTCAGTGTACAGTTTTGTGTTTGGGGAAATGCTTATAGTCACAGGTTCACTACAACAATCAAATTATAGGACAATTCTGTCTCCCCCTAAATTCTGTTGTACTCCTTTATAGTAAAACTCTATCCCTACCTTCAGTCCTTGGCACCCACTTACGTGTTTTTTGTCTTCAGGTTTTTCTGTTCCAGAAATGTCATATAAATGGAATCATGAAGTAGATAGCCTTTGAGTCTTGCTTTTTTTAAAGAAAAATTTAGTATAACATATTTGAGAGTTAACCATGTATAGGTGTATCAGAGTCCCTGGATAGTGCAGATGGTTAATGTGCTCGAGTGCTAACTGAAAGGTTGGAAGTTTGAGTCCACCTTGGAAGAGAGGCCTGGTGATCTACTTCCAAAAAATTATCCATTGAAAACCCTACAGAGCACAGTTGTACTCTAACACACCTGGAGTTACCATGAGTTGGAATTGATTTGATGGCAATTAGTATTGGTAAAATTAGGTGTATTCATTTTTACTGCTGAGTAGTATTCCATTGTAAAGGTGTATCCTAGGTTTTTTATTTCTTTTGGGTAAATACCTAGGCGTGGGATTGCAGGACTGTATATTTAATGTATGTTTAACTTTGTAAGAAGGAGAAGGTGTCCAACTGATGAACTATAATGTTTTACATTCCTCCCAGCGGTGCTTGAGCATTCCAGTTGCTCCTCATCCTTACTTGGGTTGCTATTGTCAGTTATTTTTATTGTAGCCATGCTAATAGGCGCATAGTATTATCTCATTGTGGTTTCAATTTGCATTTCTATAATGATTAATGATGTTGAGCTTTTTTTTTTTCATGCGCTTGTTTGCCGTTTGTATATCTTTTTTGGTGAAGTACCGATGCACATCTTTTGCCTATAAAAACTGAGTTGTTTAATTTTTTTATTACTGAGTTTTCAGAGTTCTTTATCAATATGGGAGCCCTGGTAGCACAGTGGTTAAGAGTTTGGCTGCTGACCAAAATATTGGCAGTTCAAATCCACCAGCTGCTCCTTGGAAACCCTATGAGGCAGTTCTGCTATGTCCTACCGGGTTGCTATGTATGTATTTTGCCAGTATTTCCTCCTAGGCAGTGCCTTGTCTTTTAATTCTGTTAAGAATATCTCTTGAAAAGCAGACACTTGTAGTTTTGACAAAGTTCAATTTGATTTTTTTTTTTTTTTAATAGATTGTCCTTTTGGTGTAGTATCCAAGAAATCT